GTGGTTAAGAGGGACGCTGTATAACGGAATAATGTCAACCCTCCCAACAGGCACTTTTTTAAAATATGCTTTGGTTACGAAGTCATAGAAAGAAACCCAGAAATGCTAAGATATTCGATCACCATATTTATTTAAAATGATCTTTTTAATCTGGTTTGTAGAGTACTAGATACGACGTTATAGTTTGATTTCGTCCTGTACTAGAATCTAGCTTATATATAAACCAAAGCATATGGTACCGTCGCCTGTTTACAGTTGAAAACACTATGTAGTTCGGTGTACCGAAATATTATATATTTTTGATATTCAGTATATATTGTTCTATTCAGCCCTACTATGCTAATTCTACCTTGAAATGAGCAAAGACCGTCACATGTGCAAGCACGAGCGATAGTCATCATGGGGGTGATTCTGACCGCCCTTTAAAGAGTCGTCTCTACTCTTCTCTTTTTACTGAATCGAAACCTGCTCAGTGTTGTACTAGAATCTAGCTTATATAGACCAAAGCATATAGTACCGTCGCCTGTTTGCAATTGAAAACACTATGTAGTTCGGTGTACCGAAATAATTTTATATTTTTGATATTCAGTATATATTGTTCTATTCTGTCCTACTATGCTGATATTGCCTTGAAATGAGCAATGACCGTCACATGTGCAAGCACGAGTGACAGTCATCATGGGGTGATTCTGACCGCACTTTAAAGAGTCGTCTCTACTCTCCTCTTCTTACTGAATCGAAACCTGCTCAGTGCTCTGGTTTCAACTCGATATCTAAAAAAATTTACCAGAAAGTGACTAGTCTTAATACGATCTCCATATCTACATATCGTAAGTATTCTACCGGACCCTTGACTATCCTTGAACTATACGGGTACTCAGAGCTCAATACGAGGACATGGGCCTTACTTCTGTCCTCCGATTCTACCAAGTTCAGCCTGAACCCCCTGTCAATCTCGATGAAACAGTCGCTAACATCACGTAGACACCTAAAAAGATTGGACTACTGAACAAGAAAAAGTCATTCAAGCTCGGGACTTTATCAAAAATTCCCAAGCTAACTTCTCTAACCAACATACTAAAACTCTACCCCTTGTTAACCTATCCAAGAAATTGCGCCTTAAATTGGTAACACCTTTCAATCGCTATCACCCTTGCGACTCTTTCTCAGACCCTCAGAACTCGTTATCACCATCAATTAAATATTTCTATGAGATCATTGATGCTAACTACATTCATGCTTTTACCAAAGGGCCCTTTTATATCCGTCCGTGATTGGTCCCAGCGCTATGAATGAGACTACAGGAGTAGACGTATTTATAAATACGTTAATAATGTTGTGCGCCGTCAGCCCGAGAGTAATTTGGGACTTGTTCTCAAATTAATATATGTATAGGTGGGCCAGCCCGAGAGAACGTAAGAGTAATTTGAGACTTCTTCTCAGATTATCCTATTTATAGGACATGGGCCACCGGCTAGCCGAGAGCCGAGGTCCGAGACTGAGAGTATGTGGCAGAGAAAGTGATATATTTATGTCTAAATATATCAGAGTACTAAAGTGTTCTGCATATGATTTTTCATACTAATCATACGCATTTCTACCCTGGCCAACCCAAGTGGTTGAACACTAGTACAAACACCATCAGTATATATCTGAAGGTGAGATCATGAAAAAATTAAATTCGAACGCACCCATTCTTTAGATACATTTGTACGTTTTTTAAAGCCTACTACATTATACTTTAACAGCGAAGAACTTATTGCCACAGCCGCCTCCCAGGGTACAACCTGTTGCCCTATTGTCACGCAAAATTCATCTATTGACGGACTTCCACCCTCTCAACAAGCACGAATACAGAATACGCAGGCGAAATCAGGTGAATAAATTCACCATTGCACGCACCTGTGACCACATGGAAAAATGGACCAAGTCTTTGAGGCGCCTCCTCCCCCCAGCACAACATAGCTAACGTTGCCAATCTTGCCTCAGCATCAGAAATCTCCATAGATCAATTGGTTCGACTGTTTAATGGCAAATGCAGAAATTTACCTCGAACAGATGGCCACCAAATGAAATGCTATGTTTGCTGGAGTACATCTCATACTTCCTCACTTTGCCTCAAAGCCTGCGGAAAGTGTGCTATCACGTCCCATACCGGTCACGGCTGTGCTGTATATAGTCTACACGAATAACACCTGCCAAAAGCGTGGCCATACGGATATTGTATATTCAAAACCCACGAATAAAAATATTTTCCTTAGTTCATGCCTTTCCTAGCCCGGGCTACGATACTATTTGCCAGCGCAACCTCTCACCATCCCGCTGATGGCTATCTTCTCATTTATATTGGCGCCACGGTCCAAAATTTGCCCTAGTCCGAAATGTCCCTCCTTACTGAAATTGAATATCGCCAACAATTGCATCACCCGCATATCCTGTCGAGGGCACTTTCAACCTCTCACCATCCCGCTGATGGCTATCTTCTCATTTATATTGGCGCCACGGTCCAAAATTTGCCCTAGTCCGAAATGTCCCTCCTTACTGAAATTGAATATCGCCAACAATTGCATCACCCGCATATCCTGTCGAGGGCACTTTCCACTATTAGGCCTCATGTACTTCGACACCACAATTACTCAAGACATCATAGCCCAGAACAATCTCCAATATGCCGAATGGTTCTTAACATTTCCAGCAGATAGCAATACCTGCCATTTTATCAAATCAATAGCCACGATCACGTTACATCGTGTCAACCTATGTTACTTTGTTCGCTATTCAACTTCACAAGACCTCCGGGTAACCCCAAAGGTCCGCACCATTACCGAGACTCCGGAGACTCCCACATCGGCAACCCCTCCTATTGTAATAATCCCGCGACGAACAACCTGCTAACAATACTATGACCTATAATAAATTTCATTGGTCAACCGGACATTGCAGTAAACGCACCACTCTTCAGATGACTACGAAAGAAGATGCCACTCTTTCTCATCCACTACTGCCTCACGCCACAACTGAATTATGCTGCCTCTATGACGGTCCTTGACTACTTGCCTACAATCAATATTTGTGCATCGAAACACTCCCACCAATTACTGAATTTGTTGCACTGGATGGATCCGGTATAGCCCTGGTTGGCGTCACAAAGATTTCATTAAAAAAGTATATATATGCCAACCCCAAGGGGTCTGACATATATAAGTTCTCTCCTTAGGCGCATGGCATGTTGAATAATCTTGTCCGTGTACTACTCATTGATGCCGGGATGCCTCTACTATGCCAAGTCATTTGCCGACTTTCTTCACAATACTACACTAGTCCGATATAAAAAAATCCGCACACAATGCTACACGTTGCTTCAAATAGACCTCAAACGCAACCCCTTGCACACTTTGGCCGCATCATCGCATTTAAAATTTACGGCCCCGCAGCGAAAGGCCACCCAAAACATATTTTTCCAGTCGGTTGTGGGGTCCTTCTCGGCGGCAGCACGTACTCCAACCCCCACTGTTATAGTATCCGAAATCTGGCGACCCAATGAAGACCCAGTATACTCAATTATTTCTGGAAGAAAATTCTCAATGATCCACCGACGGGAAAGCTACCTTCCGATCGTCTACACCTATAAGCTATGCTATCCCGGAAAATTGACACCAACCAACTACCCTCGCTTATCACTGATCAGATACCGTTGTATGAATGGCCCTCCAACTATCCCCTCTGACACCCAACCCCACAAACCATCACCCAAGCAGACATCACACCTCGACACCCCTCCCCTCCTCTCATACGATATTACACCGACACCGGCCAACGCAACAAACGTTCCATACTCCCCTAACATATATTTCCCAGTTTACCCCTCCCGACCACCCTATCAAACAGGAAGCGATTTCTGCATAACCTCTTCCCGTCACTATCCTATTTTCAACCGGCCCCTCTGACCACATAATAGTCCACAATGTTTATTGAACTAGAAGAATCAATCGTTAATATAAAATAAAGTTATAGTCGTAGAGAAGACAATACATGCGAGTTCGTATCCAAGATCTTTAGTTGTCAGGGAATTGTAAAACCTAGTTAAAAAAGTAAACTCAGTTTGTTATGCAAACCTGATGAGTGAAGCTCAATACACCCCATCAAGGTAAGGTGTGGTTTATGTCGAATTCGAGATTCGAATTTTGTGATGGCAGCTGATTATTGAAATATTCGTGCTTGGTGCGGCCCAAAGATTTTGTGAGTAAATCAGCTAGGTTCCCTTGTGTAGAGACATTAGATATCGTAACTATACCACGACGAACGCAATCCCGAATATAGTGCGTTCGGATGGCGATGTGTCGTAGTCCTTTGGGTGTCCCAGTATCAAGAGCTATTCTGATGGCAGACTGGTTGTCGCCGAAAAGCTGTGTGGGTTTGGTAATGGGTATCCTCATGGCCGGGGCGATATTACGTACCCACGCAATATTGCGTGTGGTTTCAGACATGGTCACGTATTCAGCCTCCGAACTGCTGAGTGCGATGATTTTCTGCTTGTGTGTCTCCTCCAGTAAATTGGGGAGCCATGGAAGCAAATAAGTGTGTTAGTCTGGGAACACTGGACATTTGGCACTCGCCTCAATCTGAGTCAATATACGCGATAAGGGCGGGATCAAAGGTCCGATTTGGTTGTTTACGCTTGTAGGTAATCGAATAGTCCAGGGTAGTACGAAGGCTATGTAGGATACGTTCGAGGGTTAGCACATGGGCCTAAGTGGGCGTCGTAGCGAAAGCCGCAAATTAGTTGAGTGTGGTAGATACTTTTATGCGGGTAAGGTTTGCGGCAAACCCAAGTGCGCCCAAAGTTGGCGGAAACATTCATTTTGGAGAGCGGGCGTGTCGACCAGGTTGGCGGGGTGATCACCGGTATCCGGTGCGTACTTGGATAAAGTATTCGGTAGAGGGAAAGTGTCGAGTAGAGAGCGGATATATGCATGTTGATCGATAGTGATACCTTGAGCATGCTGCAGGATTCGAATACCAACAAGGTGAGAAGCGATGCCAAGGAATTTGATAGTGTACAATTTGCTCAAAGCTTTGAAGGGCCACTGCTCTTCATCGGAATCACGCGGAACGGCCGGTACAATTTCGTCGACGTAAATGACGAGGATAATTCGGCGAGTGCGATGGACCCATATAGTTTCATCGGCGTCGGATCGAATGAGATCAAGACTCTTGAGTTTTGCAGCTGTGTCGATGTTATACAGGCGACCAGCCTGCTTGAGCCCATATAGACCGCGTTTCAAACGAAGTACGTGAAATGGTTTATATTAGCTCAATTCGAGGCTGCCGACAAGGGGATATATATAGACCGGCGCGTCGAGCGATAAATATAAGTAGCCTGCATCCACATCTATGTGGAATACATCAATATCTTTAAAGGCGGCGTAGGATAGGAACAAATGGGGGGCACAGGAGGTTACGGCAGGGACATAAATGTCCCAAAATGAATCCCCCTGTTGCTGCTGGTCGCCACGAGCAACGTGCCGAGCCTTAAAAAGGGCAGGCGTGTTATTTTCATAATCCGGGTATCAGGTGGTACGTCGGTGGAAGGTATGAGGTCAGCGAGCTCAGTGCGAGCATGTGCGGCGTGTTCTTTTTGAATAGCTGCCTCCCAATTTGACCTTTTTGGGTGTGATCTGGCTTAACGAATACTCTTCGGGAGCTTAGGGTCGAATATAAGATTAACGGCATAAAGGAGTGACGGATTGAAACCAGTTGTCTGAAATAGAGAACGAACGGTTGGGTGGATATCGAAAGTGCCCGAGACATAAGAGAGATCATTTTCAAGGCTATGACATGAATATAGATGTATAGGGACGAGGGTGCGAATGTGAGGTTCGGATAAGTCAGCAGGTCCCGGGGAAAGAACCGGGATGCCTGGGGTTCACATCGTCGCCATCGAGGCGCGAGAATAGACTCATCAAGAGGAGTGAGAATCGAAGGGTATGAGATGTGGATAGGTGTGGAGGCCGAACGCATGGCACGTGGTGGGAGAAGACATTGACTACGTGCTGAAGTAGTAAGAGTGAGTGTTACACCGGGTTCATTGAGCATTGTCTCAAAAGAGCATGGATCAGAAAGCCTGGTGTTGCGGGGTTCAGCTTGAGTGGCGCGGCGAGTGTCAGAGATGAGAGGGTGATTGCGAGGTTCCACGTATACGGCTGTGGTCGTGGAATTGGGACGGCATCAGACATGGGGGGTATGACACCTGCTGAGGGATCAGGTTAGTTGCCGTCGGGATGATCATCAACGAGGGGATAATGGCGGGTGGTTGTGTATTTGAAAAGGATATAGATGCTGTCGGAAGGGATACAGGGTGTCGCGGTTCGTTGGAGGAATGGAAAGTGGTGGTCGTTGTGGTGAGGAGGTCAAATAAGGAAGAACATATTTAGGTAGCATTGTGTTGAAAGACGAATCTGTGCTGGGAGGAGAAGATACGACAATAAATATGCCAGTGCTAGATTGCAGGGGATGATTAGAAACGGTAGGTGGGTGTGGCGGTACAAAGTTATAGACTTAATACACTTGCGTAGATTTTTAGCCCATTCAAGTGAAATGACGTACGAACAAGGTGTAGTACTAGGTAAACACCGTTGGTTGTCTGCAGACCATTCAGGAAACTATGTAAGAAATAATTTGACGTTACGCGAATAGAGTCTGCGCTGAGTTTTAAAGCTTACCAAGTGTCCGGAGTTGGATTAAAACAACGTCCAAGAAAAATTCGTCGGCCGAAGTGGTCACCATATTTGTATGCGTCAGTGTAGTTCTTGCCCTCAAGTTTCCAAAATACAATACACCCATATACAGTGAGCGTCAGGAAAATTGGGGACAGTGGTCTGGAACCATTTATCAGCGGGAGAGGATAAGAAATCACCAGATGAAAATTTTTCATTTCTGATTATGCCAGCATAAAGTTTTGAACATCCCCAGCAACCCTTAGGCTGGTTAGCATCTTGAGGAGTGTCCAAGTCATGTTCAAAGTATCGTGATGTCATTCAATCATATTATTGAACTCGGGAAAACGTGGTGGAGTGCGGCCAAGATATATACGCTTGGTACGTAGCATAGCTTTCGTTTCAGCGCTCTGAACGACGCTAATCAGCAATAACAGGGTGGGGTTTGTATTGCGCCGGAATCTCGAGAACCCGGTCTGGTGTGTTATTGAGGTCGTTCAAATTTGAGTGAAGGCAAAGTTTTGTACTATCACACCCCATATTAAGGGCGTATTTATGGCCGTGACGAACAAGGGGCAAGAGTTTAAGGTAGTAATTCCATGTTGGCGAAAGTGGTAGACCTGTTATGAATTATATATGGTTGACTCTGGATGTGGAAGCGTTCCACAGAGCCGGTGATGTTGTCAAATATCTGATTAATACTTTTCCGGCGAACCCTGGCCTCTAGATAGATGGTACAATGTTTGACGAATTCGGAATATGCCTTTATGAAAGTAATGGAAGTTTGGAGAGCTGGACCAGGAGAGACTCTAGTTCGAAGCGGACCAAGGAGAGCAACCACGGTATAAACCCAGGATGGCATGGTAGTAATTACATGTTGGCGAAAGTGGTAGACCTATTATGAAGTATATATAGTTGACTATGGATTTTGGAGATGAAGAGCGGCCACCACTTAGCGCATAGACGTAGCGGAACTACAATAACGATGATAGTACCGCATTGAATATTAATTTTGTTCTATTTGTGTGTAAAAGACCAGCCAGAGTTTCCATAGGCGCGTTCTTTGAGAATATTTACTTTTCGGAAACAGCGGACTTCTCCTCCCTTGGGGCCCGCAAAGCATGGAAGTTGCACACTCTTTGTAGAGGCGAAACAATCGATTGTATGTTTGTAGTTAAAGTGATCCATGACTCTGGACCATAGAGGAGTGACTAATTGACAATCTTAAATAGTAACAGATAGTGGAGGTGGGACAGTCAAAGTGGTGCCCCCTTTTGCTGTCCTGCTTGCTGTGGTAGTTCGATTGAGGTGTCTGTTGCGACGATGACGTTCATCATACGTTTGAATTAGAGGTGCCGTTGTGGGAGGAGTAATTTGTTGGCCGATCGCTGTGCTGGAAGGATGATCCATGGTTTGTCGAGCGGTACAACGGAGGTGGATGGCGGAAGGGAGACGGGGTGGATTGAAGACGATGTATCAGTCGGATCGTATGGCGATATATGTAGCAGGGGATGGCGGCGACAGTGGATTAGCGGTAAGGTTCGAAGTTGGAGTACAACGATCTTTAGTAGTAGTGGTAGGCGATGAAGTAGTCTGTTCTGTAGTGTTGTGCTGTAAGAGTGGGGATCGGGGAGTGACTGTGGCGGATGTTAGAGGTGCCTTTGTGATCCCACGTTTGATACAATTAGGAGGGAAGATCCGGTGCCCGTCGTAGCGACAGTAATTTTTGCAATAAAAGGAATATTTGAATAATTGGTATTATTATTTGTTTTACAGCTGCAACAGATGTCGTTGTGCCCATCCATATTACAAATTTTGCATTTAAGCTTAGTCTCGGGACATGTTGCGTTGTTGACATTTGTTCCGCATTTGCCACATGCGATCAGGCAAACAGAATCACGATGAGCGGTTTTCCAGCATACAAAAAAATGGCGCGACAGCGGATTAGCCATTTGTGTTACGTGGACGTTGACGAGGCACTGGTGGTGCTGAAAAAAAAGAAGGAACATTTGAATAATTGATATTAATTTTATTTGTTTTACGGCTGCAACAGATGTCGTAATGCCCATCCATATTACAAA